CACACGACAGCGTTTACGGGGCCGTTCCAGGTGCAAAATGATCTTATTAGACCTGGCTCCAAAACACTTTGCTAAGTATAACTGGTTTGTGTCCACCAGATCAACACGTCATTCCTTTTCATTACCCCGTGCCAATACCTCCCTGTTTCTGAAATCTCCTATCTTCTCTGCGTACACTCTCTGGTCTTCCCTGCCAACTAGCCTTAAAGCATGCACAGACATTAAGGAGTTCAAGCTTCAGCTTCTTCGTCCTAAATAATCTCACCATTTTCGTCATGCCTCCCCTTGCAGTACTCTCTTTGTTTCTCTCCTTATTATTCAGTTCGCCGTGGTTGGCTACCACCCGACTTCTCATATATATTGGCAGTCTTCTGACGAGCCAGGAGATGTTGAATTAATAATAATAATAATAAAAGGTCCACGTCAGCAGTTCTCAACTATTTCGCGTACGGGATAGTCGCCGCGACAGCGTTTAAGGGGTCGTTCCAGGTGCAAAAGGTATCCATCAATGGCACTTTGCAGTATGGGGTACGGAAAAGGGGCCTCCTCGTTCGACTTCGTCGACTTCTGCAGTTCTCCTTCCCGTCAGGGGTACCGAAAGGGGCCTCCTCGCAGTTGTCCTTGCCGTCAGGTCCACGTCATGCAGTTCTCAACTATTTCGCGTACGGGATAGTCGTCTTTGTCGTACGCGACATCGGCGTTTACCGAGTGGCATAAGCACAAGCAGACCGTTGACGGGGTCACGTGTCAAAAAAGTATCAACAACGTGTCGACTACGTGTCGACCACGTGTATAGCGGTACACTCAGCGGTACACTAATTCTCGTGCCATTCTCGTGTCACAAAACTGGAACATCGAGTACCAGTATGGAAAGGCTTCAGACAGGAAGCCTTTCCAATGTATATGCGAAGTGTATCGGGGAATGCATTCAGTGCAGTAACATTTTGTGTGGATTTGTGTGCGAGGCCGAGATCCCACTAGCAGGCTGGCTGGCCGGGCCGCCTGTCGACCAGCCCGGGAATCGCATGTAGGCCGATAGCATAATAATTATAACGTATATACAGTCAAGTAGATGTATAGCAGGGAGTCATATTATGTAAACGACTCCCTGCTGTATGGGGAGATTTTCTGGAAAGAAATACGAAGTAGGGAGACGAGTAAAATTTAATGCAATCAGAATGGATGTTAGTTGCCGTCAGTATAGTAATAAGAAGAAGAAGAACGCCCGTGATCGGCAGAGTCAGCACCGGTCCCAGGAAACGTCAGGACAGACATCCCGTCGACTCCAGAACGCCCGTGATCGGCAGGGTCAGCGCTGGTCCCATAGCTATGCAGAAGACGTTACTTCAGTATCTCATTGAAACGTTTTTGCAATACAATGATGTAGCTAATCAAAGGAAAAAGCATTTTCATCAGTTCTAACAACATGCACGATGAGCTAGGCAACAAAGCACATGCGCATAGCGCAGGGCCCTGAGCTTCCAAGCTCTCTCGTTTGGTATTTGTGTGTTTGTTTGTTTGTTTGTGTCACGCCTGGCGCTATCCGTATCCAGGTATCTGACTGCAAAAAAGCATAAGATGTTATAATAGCTATAAAGAGAACAAATTCTGCTGTCATCGCCACACTACAACAAAGTCATGAAGGTTTACCAAAATCGATTTTCTTGTCACAATCATCAGTGGAAAGCCGTGACTGAAGAATAACCATGCCAAATCAATCATTTATATACATTCAATAATGTGTTACGAGAACAAAACAAAGTGCTAAAAATAGAATGAGGGAAGGTGAGACTCACTACACAGTTCTAGCGTTGCAATTAAATCCTCACCCCTGTTGCACTTAGCTCTCACTTTACTTCTATTGTCTCACCTCGCGCGATCGCGAGTCGATCGTACGCGCGCGCTCGCGGACGTGTCTGACACGTGAAACTAAAAGATTTTTTTGGCGGGTAGTCGGCAAAAATTAAGTGACGGTCCCTTTACTAGTCCTTCGCTATTCAAATAGGGCTTTCCAATGCAAGATCAAAATGTGAAACAACTTGGAAGAATTAGTATGTATGCGAAGTGTATCGGGGGATGCATGCAGGGCGCGCGATAGTGCGGGTTCGAATCCCAGGTTATGTCTTAAAAAAAGGATTTTTAAAATTTTTTATAACATCCCTATGCTTTTTTTTGTCTACGTCATCAAGGCAAAAAGCATAGCGTAGGGCCCTGACTGGCTGAGCTTCCAAGCTCTCTCGTTATTATTATTATTATTTTAATAACGAAGGTACGTGTTGGGTCGTAAGTATCCACGCAAACACACATCCAGTCAAAATAAGGCACTTGTTTATTTTTTGACTGGATGTGTGTTTGCGTGGATACTTACGACCCAACACGTACCTTCGTTATTAAAGTATTATCCGCCTCCGACCTCTTGTAAAAATTATTATTATTATTAAACTCAATCTCGTAGCATGTGCACGCATTGCTAATGTGGGGAGCAACCCCAGAGATGAGGGCGATAACCAGCCATGGTGAAAGTACAAAAGAAAACAAGAAAACAGTGGAAAGAAAGGAACAGGGAGGAAAACAAAGCTCAGCCAAGAAAGGAACAGGGAGGAAAACAAAGCTCAGCCAAGAAAGGAACAGGGAGGAAAACAAAGCTCAGCCAAGAAAGGAACAGGGAGGAAAACAAAGCTCAGCCAAGAAAGGAACAGGGAGGAAAACAAAGCTCAGCCAATTAAGTGAGATAGCCGGAAATTACATTGTTTAGCTAAACACGCGTGAGTGCTGCAGGAAAACGCAACTCAGTACAGGCAACTTGGCGAAACTGAGACATGCTGTGACAGTGGTGGGCGAGGCTTGATAGCTTGAGCCAGTCAGAATAGGAATGAAACAAAGGGGATTTTGTATACTGGACGCTGCAGGTAGCGAGACTTGTGCCCTTGTTGAACGGCTCCGCACAAACCAGTCATAGGGAAAGAGATGCCTTGGCACTTTCTCGAGTTTTATCTTTTGAATTAGCATGTTGCTGTGGAGACTGCGTCGAATAGAAAGGGGGCAAACACGAGCAAGAACATAGAGTTGTGCAGAGGAGAAATCACGGGGCAAGCAAAATAGCATTTTTGATAATTTTCGTTGGCAAACTTCGAGCTTGTCTGATATCGTGGTTGATAACCCACACCACGCTACGTCACAGTAGTCGAAGATTGGACAAATATACAAAGAGAAAAACAGAGATCTACAGTCGTGAGGCAGATAACGGCAGTGAGGCTTCAGAGTTCCTAAAATTCTGGATGCTTAAAGGCAAATATGGTCAGCATGTTCGGACCATGATAGCTTCGAGTCAAGAACGATTCCCAGGTGCCTGTGAGAAGTTACAACTTCCAGGGCCTGGGTGCAGTTCGGAAACGTCAACGGTGCAGATGGTGGACGTGCAGAAATATACAACACTTTCAACGGTCTTCAGGACATTGGGCTGTAGCTTCCAGATCTTCATCCAGTTTACCACGTCATCGATGCCCTGCTGGAGCGATACCGTTAGTTCGTGCTCGGTGGAGGCTGAGCGGTGAAGGGCGGTGTTATGTCATCTGCATAAAGCGAGAGGCCGGGAGTAACCATGGTAACGGATGGCAAATCATTCACGTACATCAAGAAAAGCAGGGGGCCAAGAATAGACCCTTGTGGTACACCTGTATTTACTGGACGATCCTCGATTAAGGACTGGTTTGCTGAGTTCAGGCTTGGGAGGTTGAGCACCAGTTATGCCGCAAGGTCGGGACGACCGTCTGTAGCAACATCGCAGGAGAATTGCGACAAAGTCCTCGAAATTATAATGAAAGACCGCAGAGTTACAAGAAAATACCTGGGTGCCCAACTGGATATCAGTTCTGGCTCAATGCAAAACATCCTAACCAGAATTGACCTCAACAAAGTTTCCTGCAGATCATCTGAGATGGGTTCCAAGGATGTTGCGTAAGATTGTTGACAATGGAACAGCAATGCAGGAGAAAGGACCCCTTAACTGAACTTCATCGGGACGAATGCAGGCAAACCGGGAGGACTTTCTGAGCAGGTTGGTCACTCAGGATGAAACATGGGTCCATCATTTTGCCCCAGAAGCAAAATGAAGTAAAAAATAAAAAAATAAAGTTAGCCGGATTCGCGGCCACATCACTTGACGTGTTCAGGAACACATCAAGCAAATACATTCACATCGGCGGGCCACCACTTCACCCATATATCCTTAGTGTCGAATGCAGACCTCACAAGTAAGTCAGGGGAGAGGGGATAAGCTGTCCCTCCAGGAAATCGCGATTCCACGGATGCAACAAATTTCGCGATTTTGGCCAAAACCCGCGAATTTCTGAAAAGTCCGCGATTTCACGCGTTTTTGGTTGTTTTCTGCACTTCTTTTTACATTTTTCTTCACTTTTCACGCAGTATACTGTGCTTTTCATGGTCCTGTACGTAGGTTATTTGCACTGTACGCAAATAGCGATTCTAATGATGCAACAAATTTCATGATTTGGCCCAAATCCGCAATTTCCTGCCAATAATTCTGCGACTCAGCCATACGGTTCCTGGCAAGTTCCGCATCTTTCCGCACTTTTCGCCGCATTTTTGTTGTTTTCTGCCGCAATTTCTTGCGCAAGTTTTCGAGGACTTTTTCCGCAAATTCCCGCAGGGACAGGATAAGTCTCTCAACAAGCGGGTGTGTAAAGGCCCTATAACCCCATAAACCGCAACCTTGTTACCCTCACACCGAGCAAGTGAGTTACCAGTTCACCGTGGGTGTCGGCACAGTTCATTGCATGTAATGTGGTACTCGTCCACATCAGCGCGATTGAGAGATCACTAAACACACTCCCTGTTTCCAGCGCAGATTTGAACTCGCAACCTCATGATTTGCAGGCAAACCTACAAACCAATCGGCTTTACGCGTTGGTCAGCAGCAGTCAATGCAGTGGAATTATCATACCAGTTCACCCACACCGAAGAAATTCAAGGCATGACCGTCGGCCAGCATGAAGATCACGGTTTCCGTATTTTGGGATAATGTTGACTCTTGTTGCGTACGAAAAGGACGATGGCATATTCTCCAGACATTACGGACAACGGGAACAGATTAGGTGGGAACGACATTTATTAGGGAGACGAAGAGACAGAGACCAAGACGAACAAAACGATACATTGTGGAAGAGAGCGACAAGAGGGAGATCACTTGAAGTGAGGGCGGCAAGATAAAGGGCCTGGGTGGCTATGGCAAATACGGGCGCGCAAGTAGCTACCCAGGCCAAAGGAACAAAGGTGACGAAAGGAGACAAAAGGTGAGTACGACGTAGAATGAGGTGCATGAAGGCCAGCTTAGAAAGGTTGTACGGGAGGAGGTACCTAACAATAACAATGAAAATGTACGAGAGGTGGTGATCAAACACTGATAATCATTGATCAAGACAGAAAAATGCATTTCCCAGCAAGTACAACCAGCATGCTACACAAGCGGAGCAACAATCCAGGAGGCTGTGATTTTCAGCTCGTTGCTCCCTCTGATTGGTCACGTAAACCAAGGAGATATGCTTTGTACCGCTGATTCAAACTGTGCGGCAGTTTGTCCACAGCCTCTTCTTCAGCAACCTCGACAAAGACTTGCATGGCCAGCTCCAGCAAGGTTAGGGGTGTTGTGCGCACTCTAACAACGTACTGGCAAGGTTCCGCCCTCTCCGACTGTCTGAATCCACCCACAATGTAGACATCGCCACGCCGATCGCAACACGCCGTGTGCCACATTCGATGCTCCAGGACCAGTGGCGGATTGATACGAGACCAATGAAGATGCTCTGTGTCAAATGCATACAAGTCATCCAATACCAGGTTAGCATTGTCGCAGCCACCGCACAAGATTAGAAGAGAATCAGAGCTTGCAGTCAGTGTTGACCATGATCTTCCAGAAGGAACGTCACCTGTCGCGGCCAATGTTCCGCTCCATTCGTGCTCTTCCAGGTGCAGACGGTGGATGTCACTTCGCCGACCCGCCATACAGCCACCACCAAAGACATACGCGCACTGCTGAGCCACTGTCACACTGCATGCAGCACGTGGCGTTGGTGGTTGCCCTCTATAACGGACCTCAGACCATGAGCACTTGCCAGTTGTGGGATAATCTTGCGTTTCTAGAACATGCACAGCGTTATTCCAGTACGTGCTTACCTGTTGACCGGAAATATCATTCACGTAGCCACCACCAGTCCTAGCCACGTAAGAGGCTTGTGATTGTACGTGGCGATTGGTTGAGTCAATCGGCGGCGCTGCATTTTCCGGCAGACCGTGTCCATAGCCAGCAAAGACGACGATAGCAGTGCCGAATGCGCATGCACCAAACTTGTCCTTGCCCGGCGGTGCATCACCCGTCACATCTACAGAATACCATTTCATGGCGGTGGTATCCAGACGGTACACATCACTCGTATAGCTGATGTTCGAGTTCTCCTTGGTCATCCCTCCGACACAGAAGATATCGTCTCCGATTGCCACAGCTGAACAGCCACTTCGGCGACCAAGATCTCGCGATCCTGGCTCGTTAGATTCGCTGGCGATTACAGCTGATTGGGTGGGAAGGATCAAAGCATTGGAGTCTCTGGTCATGGAATCACCACCGCCACTACTTGTGCATTCCGCTGCAGTTTCAATTTTATGAACACCGCATCCACACGACGTGTGGAAGGTTAGCGGCGTGTAGATTATGTTATGCAGTACACAGCTTCCAGCATTGCTGCCGCCAATTTCTTTCTTGCCGATCTTTTCGTCGCCTATATCTTGCACCCGGGCATCTCGCACAGCGCGTACTGACATTGTTGAGCGTATTCACACTATCGCCTGGTACAGAACAAAAAGAAGGAAACAGGATGAAGTCAACAGAGCGGCGATCAGTGCACATAAGTCAGTAGTCTACAGTAGTTCTTGTAAGCTGGGATTTTTTTTCTTTTCTTTTTCCGCCATTTGCCTACTATACTTCTTTTTCGTCTTGGGGGCTAGTTGGACAAGGCCGGGCCGGGGAACTAGCCATGTAGGGGCGTGAGCCCACCTTTCGGCACCGGGAGTTACAGCTTGCTCGACTCGACTCTACTGAGTGAAGAGGGCCCACACCTTGATCACACATCATGGGGATTATAATTATTTCCGAATGCTGTCTCCATATCAACATGTTCGGCGTAGTTTCCCAACTCTTGACCACTTTTTTTGTAGCGAAATGCATGATTTAGTGAATTTTTTGAATTGGTGTACACGCATGCATGAATGGAAGTTTCTACTGATACAACCTCTTGTTCCCTCTATGTTCTTCCGCCTTTTTCTGGCTCGCTCGAAGTAAGTTGGCTTCTGACAACTGGGTCTTCGATTTCACTTTTCCTGGTTTTTTTCCGAATGTTACCTAAGCTTGGTGTGTTTTGTGTTTACTGTAGACCACCATTTGTTTTTGTTTTCCTCTGAAGTCTTCCACTCGCAATTATGGAGTCGCAAGATGTTCAATCCATCCTCGATACCCTCGCCAAGCTGAGCGGAAGCATAGAGAGCCTAATAGAGACCATCGGTTCCGACCTCTCCAAGGTTGCTGAACACGTTTCAGTCTTGGACTCTTCGGCATGGAGTGCCACTGACGTAAAATCGGTGCGGAGTACCTCTTGTTTGTCCACGGCACGGAGAGCCAGTAGTTCATTCGCTGAAGCCGGTGACGACATTGCTTTACCACGAATGATATCCTGAAAGCTACTGACTGGAGCTCCCAGTCCGTCTTCCAAAAGTTCTACTACAAACCACACAGCGTGATGATAAGTATGCTCAGGCTGTTCTCTCGAAGCTGTCAACCACTGGCAGAGAGCTACAAAATCACGTTGATAACTTGATATGGAGACAGAATGGCTCAGACCAACGCAGTAGTTGCCAGCTATTCTGAATTATACGAAAAATGTGATGTCGAACATATCAATGTCCCAACCCTGACCCTCTCTGTATGAGTCTGTTGATGTGTGCCGAGGCTCACAGTCTAAAAGGCTGAAGACTGACAGAGAGGGAACAAGGGTTTTTATCAGTAGAAACTGCCGTTCACGCATGCGTGGACACCAACAATAAAACAAAAAATCGTGAAATTCACTACAAAAAAAGCTGTCAAGAGTTGGGAAACTAGGCCAAACACGTTCATATGTTTGACATCACATTCTTCATATAATGGGCCATTCACTCTGCGCCCAACACGTGGCGTATGTGACATTTTCTTCCGAATACTGCGAATAGCCATAACATGGAAAGTGGCGGGAAAATCGAACGCCGAATACGAAAACGTAGACGAAGTATCCAGACCCCTGTACTGAGATTCGTTCTGTCATTCCAGGCAGTTTGTGTCCAAATGAAGCTGTACCAGCAGTGTGTACATGCCTGTGTGAATGCATTTAAAAAAAATTCTTTTACTATTATTCACAAACCCAACTCGTAAATAAAATAATAATTATGTCACCAAACACAAACAGCTACTGAGTAGGGGCTGCTGCACTGGGTAGTAGTGATGGTGAGATACCAGGGGTTCCACCCTTGCATGAAAAACACATCTGCCAGTACCGTGGAATTCCAAAACGTGTATTGGAACGTAGCATGAATACATGTACATTGACTAGCCTATAGTACAAAATAGCTGGCAACCACTGTGTGGTCTGAGCCATTCCGTAATTTTGCAGTCAGATGTCCGACTGCGGGGCTCGAACCCGCGACCTCTCAGGTCGCAGGCAAGTGCAGTACTGTAAAAGCAAATATTCTAACAAGGCGCATATAACGATTTCCCAAAATTGACTGGTTAACGTGAAGCAAAGGTAACGATTCGCACGCATTCTCAATGCTCGATAGAACAGTTTATGTCTCGATTTCTATGTTAACTACAGATTTCTCCTCGTTAACTCGATAGAATTAGCACTTCATTATATAATATGTATATATGGCTTTTACAGTACCCAATGTGCTACTGGGGAGCCCAGGCGTGTAGCCGGCAGTGTTTCCAGGTTGCCTGGAAACCACCTCCGGGGTTGCAGCGCTGATGCTGAAACCTTTGAAAGCTACAGTACAACTCTCCTGAGTGCATGCATATGTCGTCACCGAAAGTACAAAGTGACGGTGCGGTACATGCCGCACGCATGCACTTGAGTGAGGTGTGAATCTCATTAATGACCGTAGTTGTCCAGGTAGTTAGTGCGGCACGAAGCACTTGCAAAGTAGCATGCACTGTAAAATTTCTCTTTCATGCTGCGTTTCCTATTACAAAATGTCTTGGATGCGAACGAACCACAACACACTGACAATCATATGTGACTTCAGTAGTGTGCCGGTAAAGTTCCAGATTGGGCCTCTGAGGAGCTTGGAATTTGAAGCGGATACCCTAGAGGCCGATGCACAGTACAACTTGTTGCGACGCGACGCACGATTTGCGACAGCGACACACGGTTCACAATATTTTTGGTGTTTTGAAACATCCGTAGGCACTAGTAGCATGATCTTTTCGACAGGGCTCTGCCCCTGCCCACCCCCGCAAGGGGATCTGGCCCTTGCCCCCCGCGCCGGAGGACTCCCCGGACCCCATCTGGAAGCCACCTCCCAAACCCTTCCGCCGCTACGTGCCAGGTCAGCCCCAAAGCTAGGCTTGATTCCGTTTCTCCAAGACGTAGGGAATTAGCAGTCATGTCCCAGCCTACAGTCCATTCACGAAAAGATGGGCCCTGGCTCTGGAGAGCTCCCGCATTAGGTGATTTTTCAAGATTTTATCGTACACAGTGCAGTGCTGTGAAATTTGAAATTTGAAAAAGGGTCCAAAAAGGGTACCTGAACTGGGGTTCGAACCGTACAGTGCACTGTTGCAGGCAGTGTCAAACGGCCTGGATTTTGATAGGTTTTCCCAATTCAGTGCTCTTGGGGCAAAACCTGGCCGAAATCCTATTCTTGCTATGACTTGCTTTTTGGAGAAATAGACTTCAGAAACATAATTGGAAGAGGATTCCATATAGGGGATTGCAGAAAAAATTCAAAAAAACTCAACGTTTGACCCATTTATGGCCAAAAGCTAGAAGTCCATCTTTTTCTGAATGGACTGTATAGGCTAGTCGCTCAGATCACGTTAGCCATAATATTTTACTACTTGCCTCCAGGGTTGTGCCTCGTGATTCCCATTCGCCAGCTCAGCCGCTGAAACAAAGCAAAAAAAAAAGATTTTACACACATTTCAGAAACAATGAGTCGGTAGCTGTATTCCACACGAACACTCAACACCTAGCCCTGGACACCTTCAAGGCGGCAGCAGTACCTTACGCAATTGGTCACCGACTGTACCTGATGCAACAGTTTGACAATGGATCCGTACTATTGATCTCCAGCTAGCATTTCCACTGCATACGCACTGTACTTCTCTCTCTCTCTTTTTTCTTCCCAGGCCTAGCGCTGATATTATACGTGTAGCGCCTAAGCTAAGCTCTTATCGATAATAATAATCATCATTATGATCTTCGCTACCTAAAAATTATTTCTCTCTAGCGCTCTGTCCTTGTCGCGCACGCGCATGTCACATGCACATGTCATTGCCATTGAAGGGGAAGATTATTGATTCCCCGGGGAATCAATTATTCTTCCCAAAATCCCCTTGGATTTTGCGAAGTAAAAATAAAACTTAAAAAAACACAGTGCTGCCAAATAATTATTTTCGCCCAAAATCGGCCACCTTTACTGCATGCATATCGCATTGTTTGGTTGAGCTGGGTAACTCCGATCTTCTTCGTCGCTCACCGGAGGAGTTTCTCTAGTCTCCTCGCGCAACTGGGGAGCCGTTTTCATTGGACATTAGTATTGACGGGACGATGCGACGGGAATCAATGGTACGAGCTGATGAACGAACGCTTTACGGAGGAAAAGAAAAAAATTGCTGTCGGAACTTTCAATGTGTGGGGCCTCACGTCGGCCGTCAAGAGGAACTCCTTGTGTCCGCAGTCGAGACCTCTCTTTCTACGGCATAGACGTCTGTACCCTTCAAGAAACCAAGCTACCTGCAGGGCTTGACGAGCAGCGAAACGGCTATCGAATTATTTGTTTGTTTGGAGAAAGTAACGTTTCTCCGCGCTCTCCTTCGGGAGAGTGAACCGTTTTTATCTAATTTTAAGCGAAACTCGGAGGGAATGGAGCGGAGTGTTACTGTTACTGTTAGAGCACGCGGACGGCCGAGAGTGTCCTTGTGGAGTCGCGACTTGCAGCTGTTCGGCTTGTTGGTCACCCAGAGCTCCGTCAACGCGGGCATGGAGCTAATGGCAGTAATGCGAGCGCGTGGCCGAGGTTGCGCTGACTGGTTGGCGGCGGCTAGCCGAGCTCGACGACTTGTACTACAGCCTCAGTAACGGAGCTGCCACCCAACACCTGAAACGCAACGGCTGCAGAATCTTGCAATGTTCGAGTCTTATCTGCCTTGTTCGTTCTGCCAATGTGTCATGCAAGTAACGGCGTGAGTAATTGTTAAAGGGGAAGTTAAGGCAAAAATTAAAATTTCACCAGTTGTAGTCTTCGGGGTGCTGAGTCGAATGGTCTTGGTCCGAGAAAGCTGAGACGCTCCCTTCCTACTTGAATCCCAATCGAACTCGCGCACTTCCACCGAAACTGGGTGACTGCGCCCTACGAGATGGGGATTTGTATGCAAAATGTCACTAAAAGCGCCATTTCGTTCTTATAAAAGCACGGATGACCGCGATTGGCCCATATGTTGCAGTCTTTTGGACGCTGAGTCGACTGGTTTTGGTCCGAAAAGGCTGCGATGCAGCGTTTGTCCCTAATTCCCAATCGAACATGGTTGAACAAGCGGTCACGTGCTCCTGCGTACACCAGTCACCTGGTCACCGTGCCTGCAGGGTACAACTTACAGCCTGTTTTGACCTTTTTTGGGTGCAGTCCTGTCACTCGAGTTGAACCTTGGTGTGAAAGTTGTCGCCTGCTGGCGTGGTGACCAGGTGATTTTGGCACCCAGGAGCACGTGACCGCTTCTTCAACCATGTTCGATTGGGAATAAAGGAGGAACGCTGCATCGCAGCCTTTTCGGACCAAAACCAGTCGACTCAGCGTCCAAAAGACTACAACATATGGGCCAATCGCGGTCATCCGTGCTTTTATAAGAACGAAATGGCGCTTTTAGTGACATTTTGCATACAAATCCCCATCTCGTAGGGCGCAGTCACCCAGTTTCGGTGGAAGTGCGCGAGTTCGATTGGGATTCAAGTAGGAAGGGAGCGTCTCAGCTTTCTCGGACCAAGACCATTCGACTCAGCACCCCGAAGACTACAACTGGTGAAATTTTAATTTTTGCCTTAACTTCCCCTTTAAGCGCCTGAACTGCGCAGCCAGTCTGCACAGGTAAGGTGAGATTTTCGATCCCAAACGCGTCCAGTGCAGAAACCGTGGAAAAGAACATTTTTTTCGAAATAAATCAAGTAACTTGAAGAAGACAGTAGAAATCCGGGCTGAATGTTGCGTCCAGGAAAGCACGTTCTACGGCCATCTCCCAGCTACCTATCTCCGAGACACTCTCTCAGAGGAACTATGAAGGGTCAAAGAGCACAATATTTCACTCTTGGACGCAGCGTGAACACCTCTTCTACTGAGCGCGATGTCTTCTCTCTGAGTGATAATGGCGGCGATCTTCACGATGGCTGATGCAATGAAAATCGAAGTTAGGACAATCTAACCGGAGAAAACGTCTGAATCTTCTCTGAAGTGGGTTCTTGCCACATGGCAAATTATAGGAAAATCGACCGGGGCGATATCGCCTTGGCCACGCTGTCGTTCGGCGGGAATCACAAAGTATGTTCGAACAACGATGAAGATGACGATTCCGCTAGGTGTCCACCGCGTCCGCTAGTGTCGAAAATCGACCGTCGCCATTTCCTGCTGTGTCCGTGGCTCCGCGCGCTGCACTCAAAACTCGATGATGCAATGTATGCGCACACACCCTGCGCACTGCACGCGCTGAGATCCCTAGTAGTAATGTCTTCTCCCTGAATAAGGGTGCGCGGATTATTCCCGGAATAATTTGGGAATACTATCGTCGAGAAAATTTTGGGAATTTTAGGGGAATTCTATCGATCTTTTTATTTAAATTTTCACCTTCCCGTGGCCAGAGAATATAGGCCAATATGGAGGGAGGGGGCGGTAGCCAGCCATGGCTGTAAACAAAAACAAAGCAAAAATAAATAAATATTACACATTACTGGAGGCAAAGAGAAACAAATCTGGATGAAGTATTAGCAGTTATTAGAACACGAGCTTCATGTTGGCCTTGAAATCCTTTAGCGTACAAGACGATTGTACTGATAGAGGCAGGGCCAGCCAGAGAGAATAGGCAGCGAAAAACGGAGATCTGGTATAAGCTGAGGTTCGGGCTTTAGGTAAAGTGCAGGGATTACACTTCGGAGCTTCGGCTTCGAATGTGACAGTGTGTTTGGCCTCAAATCGCTCTAGTTTTCCATAAATTTCCAGCGGTTTAAAGATAAAAATGCAAATGCACGCCTTGATTGCACCTAGCACCTCTTGCTTTCTTTGGCCTTTTCTTTCGCTTCTTTGCTGATAGGTTACCTTTTTCCTTTGTCCAGTATCCTTGAGACTTCAGTCTTCTACCGCCGCTATGGCAGTGTCTATTGTCTAATGACAAGTAATGATGACTCCGAAGCTGAAGCTCGCAGTCCAGGCCTAGGACTAGTAAGAGTTCCTACCGGATCGTCGTGCTGTCCGTGTAGGTAAGTGCTGAAGTAACTAGTTTGTGCCGATATGGAAATTTCGGCCTTTTCGGCCGCCAATGCTGATGGCGACGCTGCGATGGTTCCGTGGGTTTGCAAGCACCGACGAGTGCCTTGTTTCATGCCCCGAGTCACGATTTCCCTGTTGGGTCAGGGCGGCCTTCACGAGTTCGGCAGGCTCTTTCGAGTGCCTTGCCCAGGCTCTGCGCTTAGCGCGTAGCAACATCAACAGACGGCTTACGTCACGTCATTGGGCAGGCCCTGACGAGTGCCTTGCCAATCTCTGTACCTACAAGTAACTGGTATCCAACCCCAATCGATGGACGACGCGGACATGGCGGATATGCGGCGGCTTCTGTCACGACAGTGGGCAGGCCCTGTCGCGTGTCTTGCCACACTCAAACCATCCGTCCACTGTCGATGGACGACGGTCTCACCAGTGGGCAGGCCCTGTCGCGTGCCTTGCCACACTCTAGCCATCCATCCACTGTCGATGGACGATGGTCACACCACTGGGCAGGCCATGTCGTGTGCCTTGCCGCACTCTAACCATACGTCAATTGTCCATGGACGATAGTCTACAGTGAGCAGGCCCTGTCGCGTGCCTTGCCACACTCTAGCCACTCTAACCATCCATCCACTGCGGATGGACGATGGTCGAACCGGTGGGCAGGCCCTGTCGCGTGCCTTGCTACACTCTAACCATCCGTCCACTGTCGATGGACGATGGTCTCTACAGTGGGCAGGCCCTGTCGCGTGCCTTGCCGCACTCTAACCACTCTATCCACTATCCATGGACGATGGTCTCGTGGGTTTGCAAGCACCAGCGAGTGCTTTGTTTCTTGCCCTGAGTCGTGCCTTCCTGGTGTGGCCAGGGCAATTTCATGAAAAGCAGGAGTGCCTTTCCAATGTCTGTGCCTAACTCGCATCCACCCATGTCGGTGGACTGTGCGGTCATTGTAGATATGGTGGCTTCCGTCACGCCAGTGGGCAGGCCCTGTCGGGGGCCTTGCCACACTCTAACCATTAGTCCATTGGTGATGAACGATGGTCTCATGGCTTTGCAAGCACCGGCGAGTGCTTTGTTTCATGCCCAGAGTCACGCCCATAACTTAATGCCGTTCTGCCATTCTCATATTGTTGTTTCGCAAGTACAGTTCTACCTGTGTTTGCTTGCTCCTATACCAAGCAGAATCCCGTATTGACCGGGAAATGTTCCTGCACCAAAGGGCTGTGGATCGAACGTACATCCCTGTGTCAGGCGGAATAATGTCATATCAGACCAGTTTCCGCTGCACCACGGGCGTCCGGTTAAGACAGGTTTACCTGTATGTAGATACATGGTTCTGGAAGCATAATCACGATGTCAGAGGTGGCTGATGCACCTCTGTGAGCAATGAAAAATAAACATCAAATGGTTGCCATTTGTGCAGTGCCAACAATGTACTGCCACTCCTATTGCTCAAGCACCTTTTGTGATAGCAACCTCGAAGTGGTGAAGCATATAACACTTTTGCTGTTGCCATACCTCAGTCTGACCTTCGGTGGCTGGAGCACGTACGGACACGGGCGCTCCAGCTATCTGCTGAGCGTAGTGCCACGAGTGCAATGTCATGTACACTTGCCTTTGTGTACGCTATGACTTGTGGTAAACTGCCTTCCACTACTCAAGTTAGTGCCCACCTCGG